CACCTGCCTGTGTAACTGTAGCTTCAGAGACAGTGAACCCTGGGTTAAAGAGAGCATTGGTAGAAGAAAGTAAAAACAGTTAAGCTGTGAGAGGAGGAACAGACCACCACTTGATTGTTTTGGTTTTTTCCCCTGTTAACTGAGTTAACAATAATGGCAAACCTAAAGAGAGGGATCTCTGTAGATTGCACACACCGCATTTGTGACTCCAGACAGAATGGGAACTCTGCCTCCAAGCCATTGCATATTACATAAACACCATTAAGTGTATATAAAATTGTGAAGCACTTACATCTGTTTCACTAATCAAATCATGATGCTAAGCAATTACTCACAGACTCCTGTATTTGCAAACACTGTGATGTTTGCAGCGTCCTGCCCCCCTTCACTACACTTATTCTGTAGCACAGTCTGTGCCTACCTGCACATACACATGCCATATAGGTACTACCTACCCATAAAGGTAACACCTCTGCTATTTACACCAACCTGCCCTGGACTGTTGTCTGGCACTCCAATCAAAGGAAATGAGGAGCCCATGTCTCTGCTAGCAGCCTCTCTGAAACAAGGGGCTCGCAACCAAATGTCCATAGCAGGACAAGCTGCTGCCCAGGCAGTTCCCAGCCATGCCCAGGAGGGCTACCCACCCGTGGGGCTGAGCTCAGCACCCAGGTACCTGTGGCCTCCCTGATTTACGACCATAGATGCAGTGACAGTGTCTCCTAGTGGCTGCATTCTTAAAGGAACACACTCAAACTTCATGCCCCAAAACTCACGCTCTTAAAAAGCACACAAAATACAAAACTGTTGCTAGATTTTTAGAGTACTAAAACATCATCACTTATAGAATCACAGAATTTCTCAGGTTGGAAGGGACCCACAAGGGTCATTGATTCTAACTCCTGGCTCCACATAGGACAACCCAAAAATCAGACCCCCACGTACGTGCTCTTCTTGAACTCCAGCAGCTCTGGTGGGCATCTGTTTTATGCCCACCACCCTCTGCTGAAGAACTTTTTCCTGATATTCAACCCGACCCTTTTACCCACTTGAGTGAGTAACAAGGGAATGCCTTTAATGCTCAAGCTAATTTATTAAATTAAAGATTAAATCACAAGCTAATTTAACATCTAAAACCTCTAAGTCATGCAAATGTGTTTTTAAAAAACTGTAGCAATGTCCTGCACTATTTCTTTTTCGAAACAGTAACGCTGAAGAGAAAGGTAAGAGCCATAACCCATGGGGAAGCAAGGTGTACAGGCAGCGTCCATCTCACTTAATCTTTATGCCCTCTTAGATCCTGTAAAAGCAAAGGCTAAAAAGCTCTGTCACTCTTAGGTGGAACCAGTCAGCCTCCAGAGGTTCTACCTGAGCACTACACAATATGCACAACAGGGAATGTGAACAGATGTCGCCAGGTCCTTGGACCATATCTCAGTCTCAGGGAAGGTGGCTGGCAGGGGGGGATGCTTAGTGAGCATGAAAACAAGAAACTTCAAATAGCACTAACAGCTGCTTCCAGCCCTTCTTCCTTGAACCTTCTAGCACCAGCTAAACACCCAAAATTCATCCTGGTAAATGAGATGGGTACCAGGGCATTTTGTGACAGGAGGACCTCACTGTCAAGGTAAGCATATTCCTCAGTGAGACCAAGTGCCAGCAGCTAGAACTGTAGTGAAGCAGATCTGCAACCCCACGGGCCTGACCCTGCTGTATCAGGGGATGTTCCCTTTCTCATCTTCAGGTGATTGAAGTTTCCTGTTGTCTACGCTTTCTTTCTTGGAACAGGAAGTCTTGGGCGGCAATTTTCCAAACATGGGTAACTTTCCTCAAATTAAGTATTAAAAGGGGGGGAAAAAGAAAAAAAAAAAAAAAAAAAAAAGGTACAGACAAGAAAATCTTTCCTACTAAATCCTGGTTCTGAGTAACCACTACTTTTTATGAATGTAATATAGATTTGCCTTCCTCTGTGTATACATGGGGGCCTTACTATTTGCCATGTGCCCTATCACATCTCTGACGCCTCCAATTTGGAGACTTCATGTAAACTGCGCTCTTAGAGGATAAAATAACACACTGCAAAACTGACTGTGATTGGAGTTGTTCTATCACAACAAAATAGTGATTGTATGTACTACCAACCTCACCTAACACCGCCTGAGCACCACAGAGCCACCAGACACTGTGCCAGTGCGTGCACACAACCCATCCCACCTCTCACAGGGGTCTCTCCGTGTACCTGTGTGTGCCTGAGACACACTGCAATGGGCACTCTCTGCCACCTGTCTCTTTTCCACTGCACCGGCGTCGATGGAAAGCCTTCCTCGAACAGCCCGGATGGTCCCGAATTTGTTTCCCTGACGGTCCTTACGATGCCTGAGCTCGCCGGCCTTAATGCCAGTACGCAAAGCTTATTTCTCTCCTCAGCTTCTCACCTGAGGGGGGGAAAGATGACAATTCAGGTTCTCAGCAGCACAAAGGGATTAACAAGAGACACGCATCCCACTCCACTGGTTTCCCTCAGCTACAACTGGGCACCAGTTGAAACGCACCAGGGAAGAGCGTCAACCTGTCTTTGTCTCAGTGAGCTTCCTAAAAAATTTGAAAACAAGGCCTAAACTCTGTGTTTCTTTTGTTTTGCTGACCATTTAGCTCTGTCCGATATGGACAGCGATATCACACATCTATGGAAGCTTCTCCAACTCTGGTGCTCCTATCTCTTTTAGCCACCTGCTCAGTCAGCTTCTCTGGAGTGCACTTCTCCTCCTGTACACGTTATCCCCTGTGGTGGCAGACCCCCTGCTGCAGCCCCCTCCCATTAGGTCTCTTCCCATTAAACCCTGGTACTGCAAACCCCTGGCCCTGCAGCCTCCCTCTTTGCAATGGAATGGTGGGCAGCTGGAGCATGCCGAGCAGAGTAGGGTCAGGTAAGGAAGCAGAAAGATACAGAGCCACAGCCATGGGATGCAGACTACTTCTGAACCTCCTCCTCAAAACTCCAGCCATAGGGCCTGCCCTGTTCCTGAAGAACCAGCACTGGCACTTCCATGCTACCCTGCTCCAGGCCAGCTGCTCAGCAAGGAGCATGTCCCTTTGGCCGTGTAGGTGATGGGACACCCGTGTGCACACGCCCCAGCCATGTGCTGGTAAATCCCCTCTGTCTCTGCACCCAAGAGCCACACCAGCCATACAAACAGAGCTTGCTCTCGCGCCCTGTCCTCAGAGAGTCCCATCCAGAGCAGATCACGCTGATACAACCTGACAACATCCAGGGATAAAGGGGAGGCTCACACCAGACGCAGCCTAATGCTAGCCTGTATTAGAAGAGGGCAACCAGAGATCAGGGGAACCTTTTCTTTCCTCTCCCACTACCTGCAAAGTAAGGACTCCACAGCGGATCCTCGTGATCCCCTGTCATGGGATAGGGACAGGGGCAGGAATTCGGGCAGAGATAGGGACAGGTTTCGGTCCCAGGGCCGCTGTCCCACCGGGCTCTGTGCCTCTCCTCAAAGCCTCTTGTATAACCCTTCGCCCTTCCCAGCATCTTCCCCCGCTCGCGCCGCAACGCGTTTGGCACAAATGTCCCGAATTGCAAAACTCCGGGAGAAGTTGGATCCGCGCGCTGCCTTCCCCAGGGCCGGGCAGGGAGGGACAGCTCCCGGCTGTCCGCGGTTATGGCGAGGAGCTGCCCCGCACCCCGCGTTCCTCGCGCCCGGCTCCCCAGGCAGCGCTCCGGCAGGTGCTCTGCGCTCATTTACCCTCCGGGGCTGAAAGAAAGAAGCGACGGGAGAAAAACCAAAACCTCTCCAGCGGCTCGTACGCGAATTCCCTTTCCTCCTCTCCCTCCCGAACGCGGCTGTCCGCTCCTCGCTGCCCGGCGGCGGGGCCGAGGGCTAACAATGACACCGCCGACACGCGGCCGCCGCAAACGCACAATGCGGACCACCCGCTCCCCCGTCCCTCCCTCGGCACCGGCGCTCCCCTCACCCTTCCGTCGACGCCATGGTCCCGCGAGTCCCCCTGTCTCCTCGGCGGCCCGGGCAGCGGCGCTGAGCGGCTGCGGCTCCGCGGGTGCCCCTCTCTCGCCTCGGGGAAGCGGCGCGCCGTTCCCGGTAATCCTCGGGGCCGCGCCAGGCGGGGACCGGCGGCTCCGCTCGGCGCCTCCCGCCCCGCCACCGCCACCTCCCGCCCGCCGAGCGCTCCGGCCGGGCCTGGCGGGGCGAGGAGCCGCTGGCACCGCTGCGGTCCCGCCGGCCGCGTCTCGCCGCGGGGTGTGCGCTTGTGCGTGTGCGTATGTGTGTGTGTGTGCGTGTGTGTGTGTGTGTGTGTGCCCGCCGAGAGGTGGGGGTGACTTCACATCGGCGCGGCGCTGGCTGAGGCAGGATTGGAAGGTTTAGCCTTCTAGCTGTGGATTTGCCGTCTATCCCTCTCTATTTTAGGCAAGGGCTGACATCACCGGCCGCCGGTACTCCTATAAATCCCCCCAACCTCTCGCTCAAAGGACAGAAAGGAAAGGGGAGGGGGCAGCGAGCCCCTCGCAGGGGGAGGGCCGCCCGTCCGCCTGCCGCCGCTCGCTACCTGCCCCGCTCCGCTCGGCGCCGCGCCGCCCCGCGCTGCCCGGGCAGCCGCCGCCAGGGCCCGCCGGGACCCCCGGGCAGGAGCGGGCCGGGCCGCCTCCCGCCGCCTCCCGCTCCACGCCCGCCCGCCACCGCGGCTCGGCAGCCGCGCTCCGAGCCCGGCGCCTCTCCGCCTCGCCCTGGCCCCGGTCCCCCCTTCCCGCCGCCGGGTAACCCGCCCGCGTCGAGCGGGACTCGGGGCCGCCCGCCGGGGAACGCGCGGAGAGCGCCCGGGGCCCGGCCCGGCGGCGGCGCGGTGCTGCCCCCTGACGGGCAGGCGGCGGTGGCGCAGCCCCACCTGCGCGGGCGGCCCCGCGCTGCGCCGGGCCGAGGGGCGCGGGGTCGGTGTGAGGGCGGCCGGGCCCTGAGCGGGAAAGAGGAAGGGAGGAAGGTTTGCGAGGCTGCCGTCCCTGCGGGGCTGCTTGCAGCCCTTCCCAGCCGATGTAGAGGTCCTCACCTGTCTGAAAGGAGGTGCTTGAGGTAGTTTGGCATCTTAAAAATAAGTCCTTGACCTTTGAAAGAGGTGCAGGCACGGCTGTAGCAACCTCCTCCCGCCGTAAGCCTTCACACACAGCGATTTTCATCCCACAGCGTTTCAGAAGAATAAACTTTGGGGTGGTACACAGCCGGCGAACAGCGATGGTTGCTGCCCGACCCAGTACCTCTCAGCTATTTGTTGCCAGCTCTGTAGTGACTGAAACTAAACGGGGACGGCACTGAGGCAGAGCTGGAGGATCAGTAAATGCCCACCATGGCCGATTGGTGGTAAAAGGAGAGGAGAGAGAGCTCGGACTGGAATTAATGCAGACTTCTGCAGTTCAGCGTGCCTAGCTGTCTCTCTCCTGGACAAATCACAGAGGAAGAAACATCCAGGGCCCATTCTTCGCAGTTGCAGCAGCAAAGAACAACGCAGGGCAGAGCGCAGCAGGTGCGGTGCCACAGCTGAGAGCAGCACCAGCTCACAGACCCTCACAATTTTTCTATTACCGTTACGGTGTCAAAACTCTTATTTAATGTAACCATGGAAGAGCTCTCAGTAGGCAAGCCATGCTCCATAAACAAATATATTCCTTTCTCCTTCCTTCACTGTTTCACTTTATTCACTGTTGCGGTGTTAGGAAAAAAACAATTTCTTGAACTTTTGCAAGTTTACCCTCCTCCAGAACTGTCACCTAATTTCCTCAACCCCCTTTTGTAAGGGGGAGTACCATACGTTCACTGGAATGTCTTCGTCCCAGTGGAGGAGTGAAACACATCCAATTTTTCATATTTAATTCAGATTTTTTGTTGCCATACAGTTTGTAAGCCAAGCACTTTGGCAGTAGGAGATAGACGAACAACATAAAGTAATTCACTTTGGTTGTAGCCCTTAAATTAAAGGGCTTAAACTAAGCCCTTAACTAAAACCCAGTCTTATTGCCAGTGAAAATAAGGAAAGTGCAAAAGCATTCAGTTCTTCTGCCCAGGAAGGCAAAAAGAAATTATGTGAAACATTCCTCTGTACCAATCGCCCACTTAGCAATAATTTGCAGATTCAAAAGTGGATGGGAACTGCAGAGCACAGAGAAACTGAACAAGATTTCACAGCACCAGAGAAATGGGATTTGGAAACAGACTCGTCAGCTTCCAAGAGCCACGGCCATGCCATAGGTTTGGCAGAAAGTGACTTCAGGATCCAAGTCTTTGATGGGGGTGCTCAATTCTTTCAGATCTTCACATCCAGCTGTGACTTGGCAGAGTCTACAAATTCCAGAGTGTTGTTATCTATGGCATTCCTCTGTCCGCCTTCCTCAACTTTTTCATCTTCCATTTTCATTCATAACTGAAGAGGGGAAACTGATTTAGTGAGAGAGAAGTGGTTAAGAACCATGAGGCGACCAAAGTCTCTCCACTGGACAACATGCCCAACAGGACAATCTCGTGCTTTGATGTCAGAAAGTCCAGAAGGGAAAAGCCTCCGCTCAGCGTGACACCTGGCCATAATTCTTTACCCTGCTGCACTTCAGGTGAGTTATTTTGCCACAGAAGTATGTGAGCAGATGGAAACCAGAACCTGTGCCGAGGTTTTTAGAGATCCTTGAAATAATCCATGTGGAAAAATGTTTTGAAAAGTGTGTTTCAAGTTTTCATCCATTCAGAATATAAGGTGGGAGAAAACTTTCTGAGTACATTTCATTGCAGTGGTTCCTGTACAACATTAGCATCACTGGGTGTATGAAGAAAAGAAGGTCCTTGTTATTTATGGAGTAATTGAATCGTGTGCTGACGCTGCCTTTCAGCATGTATGAAAAGCCTCAGTGAGAGTCACATGCAAACAGACAAGGGCAATAGAGAGCCCCTGGGGTGTGACACAGATAAAAGAAGAAGGAATTTAAACGTGGGTATGTATGTTAAAAAAACAAACCATGGTTTATTTAAACGTGTAAAGTACTTTGGAGGGAAAAAGATTACATTGTACTATGGCAATAGAGATAGCACATACCTTAACAAGCTCATCCAACATAATGAATTCAGGCTACTCTTTGCAGCCTCCTACTTCAGTCAGTCAGACTGACCTTTGGGAGAGGCTTGCCAGTGACTTCTCTTGGGGACTCCAAACTACAGATTAATTTCAATCACAATTTGCTGTCCTGTATCTGTACATCAGACTCGGGAGCAGGGAATCACCCTCCCACCAGGGGAGACAGGTGAAAAATGGCAAAACTTCCCATGCACTGTGACATTTAATCATGAATTGAGAGTAGCCTGATGGAGCATCTGATCCAGGGTGATTACCAGGGTGTCTGCCTTAACCTTATCCCAGGCGTGGCTCATCACTGGGATAAGCAACCTAAAGCAGCAGAGACTGTGAGAAATACCATGTTAATTATAAAATGCCATTTCCAGACACAGCTTTTTATTTCAGGTTCTTTTCAATCCAGTCTTTGAAAGGAATCACTTTGGTGTAACCACTGTAGAGTTCTAGGTTGCAAGTTTTATCATAACCCCAGCTCACTAATCCCATCAGGTGCCACCTTAGCTCAGGAGATGCTTTTCCTGGTAAAGTTATGGCTGCAATCCCACCAGTCTCAGCAGGGCAGATATTCGAGAAGACTGTGTGGTCCTGTTTGGCACAGAACATGCTGTCAGTGATGCTGACCTGTATCCCATTATCCTCATACTGTTGCTCACACAACAGTGAGTCCACCATCTGAACGGCTCCCATGCGGATTGTGTCATTCTTGTATCCAGGATCTTTAATATCAGCCAATACCTTCCAGCCGGTAACTGTTATTTTTAAATCTTCTGTGGATGAAGTCAAGTCTTGAGAAGATGCCAAGCAAATGGGTTGAACACGACTGCTGATTCTGGCTTTATCCAAAAGTTTTATGACAGCTATGTCAGAATCAAGTAATATGGGGTCGTAATTGGGATGCACTATGATGGCAGAAATCTGGGGAGGAAACAGAGCAGGAAGAATTATAGTGTTAATAGCAATGGCAAATTAGCAGCACTATTTCCATACTTTTACGTTGTAGTTTGCATTCCTCACTTCTCCTCTCCACTCCCAAAGAATTATTTTACCTTAGATCTTGCTCAAATGAGAATCACAGAGTCCTTAGAGTTGGAAGAGACCTCTGAAGGTCATCTAGTCCAAACATGGAACATGCAAAGACGTCAAGCTTCTTCTGTTAAGAACACATTTAGTGGCTTGGTTTTCAAGCCAGTTTTTACTGCTGGAAAGTCCTCCTAATGGAATACAGTCAAAAAGACATTTCCATCAAAATGGGGACTCAATGGCCAGTTCCTGTGCAACCTAGGGTAGGGAACCTGCTTTAGCAGGGGGGTTGGACTTAATGATCTCCAGAGGTCCCTTCCAACACCTATAGTTCCGTGATTCTGTGATTCACAGTAATAAAGGGCTGGGGCCAAATGTTTAATGGCAGCTACTTTTATGCTACTTTTATGAAACACTAGGAGGAGGAAGATGATTCCTGATAAGAAATATTGTCTAAAAAATAATGTAATTAGGAAGGTCTGAAAAAGCTGGGATTAGAGAATGAAAGGAGAATGAACAATAAAAGGGGAGGATGGGAATCAAATTAACAATGATTTCTTGGATAAAATCCATTAATTACCCCCCACTCCAGAAAAAGAAACACATTTTGATTTCTACCTCTCTAGCTTTACTTGAAATAACAAACCACTCTGGCAAGCTTGAGGTGCTATTTTTGGAATTGAATTCAGATACAAACTTCTTTTGAGTTTAAAGATAGATAGATAACCTTGGGACAGAGGTATGAAATGTTTTATTGGTCTCAAAATCACAATCTAGAACGCAAGTGTTTCTTTCATAAATTATGTTAATTGCTTTTGACAGTAACTGACATCTCTTTTTTTTTCTGGCAGTATCACTCAGGATGTCATGGCCCAAGGAATCTGAGTTATTTTCTTAGTGATCTGTGTTAGGAGGGAAGTATGCTAGTTGGATAGTGTCAGGGGAATTTTATGCACTGCAGCATGTCCCCTCCTTGCGCCATGACAGTTCTGTCAATTGATTCTCTAGATGCATATCTCAGAGAACAGCATGTAAAACAGTGCATTGCCCAAAGGATAATATTTTTCTCCCCGTACAAGATGAATGTGATCAGCATCTGTCACTGTTCATCATTTTCTGCTCCCAGCAGACTTACTCACCCTCAGGTTCTGGATGGTCTTTTCATCCCTGTCATCATCTCTGTAGAATTTCCCCAGAACCACCTTGAGCTCTGCTGTCTTGAGCACAATGGTCTTGCCCAGGTCAGTGACACAATGAGCTGCCACCACTACGGTGCGCTCGTTCACCAGAGCCCCGCTGCAGATGAGGATCCAAGCTCCTTTTTTGAGACTGTTCTCCTTCACCCCATTGGCTGTCCGATAGATTGCTGCTTGCCATGGCCACCTGGTAGAGGTTACAGCCTTCTGAAGAGTGATATTTTCTGCTTTGCCACAGACTGAGGAAATATGAAACAAGAATGAGGTGACACTCTTCCCCATCAAAGAATCCAAATTCTTGCTTAGGATGTACTAGAATGAACCAACCTGCAACTGTCAGCATAGGAGACAGAGAGAGCTTTCTAATAAGCCTCTATCTCCAACCTGCAAAATTTTATGTAGCATAAAAAAACCCTCATTTTTTTTCTTGTTATTCTCTGAATTCCTGGCTGAAGTAGAAATGTAGAATTAGCACTTGAGTAGGTGAATTTTAAAGATAACTTTATCAGACTGCATTCTAATGAGAAAACTACATAAAGAAATAAAAAAAACACCCTTGATTCTTGCTTATAATAAAAGCCAGCAGTGTAGTAAAAATATTCCAGGCAGTCACAGCGTAGTTGTGCTGCTCTAGAACCAGTCTCATTGTAGCTGAGTTCAAGCCTATGAGAATAGACTTGTCTTGCAGCAAAACTGTGAACCAAATATACATAAATCAATACCTGTCCAAAGCAAAAGCTGTGCCCTGTCCTAGGAATATATCACTATAGGTCAGACCTGGGGTAAATTTTACTGCATTTAGAAATGTTTGCTTACACTTTGCAATATCAACCCTTCCTTAGCAGACTAAGTTAAGGGAAAAGCCTCTTTAAAATACAGACCCTGCATTCCATTCCTTAAAGCTCAATTTAAAAAGTGTACCAAAGCAGAGATGAAAGAAAAATCATATTTGCAATAATAATACAGGAAAAGTGAGAGTAGGAGCACATTTTCAAATCATGAGGGAACCACATTCCACCTTTGCTTGATGAAAGAATAGAAAAATTGATGACAAATTACATTGCCAAAAGCTTGATCCCTTTGCCATCACCTACAGAAGTTCTACTGGTGGACAAAAAGAGCTGTCTATCCTCTAAGCTTTATTGCCGCTATCTCCCTACTGCAAGCACGCACAGTCTACACTGCTGGAATTCCCTAATTATCTAAGATGAATATACAGCTTGTTGTCCCATCCGCCAAGAGACGTTTCTTTCTCCTGGAGACTCACTTGGAATACACACAGGGGCCCTTCCACTCCATTTTCCTGTCTTCAGACAAGTCCTCCTGCTGCTACCCAAGCGGCGGTAGAAAGGAGAAATGCATTCATACTGAAGCTGAGTGTGCAGATGCTGATACCCTGGAGGCAGGTCTCCGAACGGCAGTGCTGGCTTCTTGGTTGGGTAGATTTCAAGCTTTTGCTTACTGAATGCAGATGAGTAAAGCTGATGCAAAGGTGTTTCCCTGTTTCAATGAACAAAGAGCAAGGTCATAATAAAAACATGATAAAAGAGATCATTTCCATAGCTTCATCACTAGCTGTGTTAAGTATCATTTAAAAGCATGAGCAGTTTGTGAAAGAGTGAGGCAAAATATCTTTCCAACACAGTTTAGCAGTATTCCCATTTACAATCCAGCTATTTTACTTCTATATGTGCATATGTTTATAACTGTAATATGTTTATAATTTGTATAACTGCTTATATTGCTACTTGTATCCTTTTTTTTTTTTTTTTTTCCATTTTTTTTTTCATTTTACAGTTTCTGGATTATATCCAGTTGCCTCTAAATGTGGAATAGTTGTTTTTTTTTTTTACAAAAGGTCTGAAATACTCTGGTTTTAAACAGAGAAATTACACTAGAAGTTGGTGTTACCATAATTAATTCTCACTAGAGAGGAGTTAGGCACATCTTTTCTCTAGTGAACATTTTAATAGGCAGTATTAGGAATCGATTCAGATTAAATCGTGTTGATAAAGTTGCTTGACTTAGCAATTAACAGAGATAATTACCTCACCACAGAGATTTCATAATTGCAATAATCACTATGCTTCCATTTTGAAATCGTACTGATTAGCTGAGACATGACATATAATTAAAGAAATAAATAGATGCATCAGCCTGGATATGGACCATAAGCTTGATGACAGTAATACTCAAATCTTCATCACTTAGGACATATCCCTTGCTCTAACGGTTAAAAGCACATTTGCACACAAAAACAAAAATAAACAATAAATTAATTTCCCTTGCTATTTCCAGAGTTGTCTGTGTCCAGAAAAAGCCATAAGAATGCTTTTTTACATGGAAATTCCATTTTTGGTCCAAGAGAGACTGCCTCCATCATATAGAATTTGTGAGCAGGCAGCACTGAGAGAAAGAAAAGTTATTAAGAACAAGAGCAACCACAAGCTTCTTGTCCTTTGGAAGAAGGATGAGAGCTGCTGTGGTAACTCTAAGTCTGCCTGGTTCCATTTCCATCTGTTGTGACCCTGCAATGTTGCATTATCCACACTTGGCCTTATGTATGAAGTGTAGAACATGCTTCAGGGCATAAAACCAGTTCATACACATGAGATGCCATCACAATGCCATGCAGATGGGAGAATGGATGCACTCTGATACAGCTTGCATTAATATCAGAAACATCTACAATAAAAAGACCTGTGTTCAAAAGTGAGTCAATAAATTCAAAGGAGAAAAATCTTTTGATGGCTCTGAGAGCCTCCTGATGTTGCCTCAGGAACATCTCTTCAACTCATACTCTATGGAGTATGGGAGACTATTTGAGGGAAGTGCATGCTTGCCTTGTTGCTAAAGTTTTCTTCAGGCATCTGCAACTGGGTCCAATCTTTCTTTTCCTTCCTCTCTTCCTACCTTGCTTCCTCCTCTTCCCCGTACTCATCCCAAGCTAACTGTATCAATATCAACTGTGCTATGTAGCTTTGGGTGATGGAATATAAGGGAGTCAGATTACATTGCCCTTTTTCTCCTTGAGCTCTCGTCACTCATTTCTTCTCTAAGGTGACACATTTTCATAGTTTAAGACACATTACTAGCTGGAGGGAACTGTTCCTTAGACTGTTCTTGCAGTCTGTTACAAGCTTGCAAGCCTAATTCTGGCATGGTCCAGTACTTCACACACTTCTAACTGTGCTTTTCTTTCTGGCTGCCTCCTGCAGCTTGCCATCCTATGCTCAATCAGATCTCCCTTCCCAGCAGCTCTCATTGCTTGGTTGTCAGTAGAGTTCACACAGAGCACTTCACAGGACTGGTTGCTCAATCAGGCTAAGACACATAGGGTGAAAAGGAGGGAAAAGCAATCACATTTTTCTTAAAACTGTAGTTGAGGTGCTGTGTTCTCACCTTGACTGAACCTGCATCGGCAGCACTTTCTGTCTCACCAGGTCAGAGATCTTTGGCTCTCTGCAGGCTAGAAAAAATACAATGTTTCACAGTATTTTTCTACCTTCACAGCTCAAACATTATGGCTCATACTCATTTGCACCCCTTCCTCTTACTAAGAAGAGGGGACTGAATTAAGAAAAGAGGCAGCAAGTTACATGCATTAAAATAAGGCTAAGCCCTAAAACATAAAGCTTTAGTAAAATGCTATCCCACAGGTCTCTAGATCTATCCCATTTACAAACACAAGAGCAAATCAGCATTGTCAGCTATGGAAGATTTGTTTGCCAGTATGTCTGAATGCCAGAGTTACACCACCACAGCTGATGGTTATGAACCTGAACAAACCTTTGCAATAATGGAATTATAGAAAAAATGTTTCACTTTCATCTGTGTAGCCACATAGAGCTAACGCCAGTGAGTCAGTGCATGGAGAAAGGCTGCAAGATATTGCAGACATCTAAAAGCCTGTTTGCATGGACTCCATTTGGGAGGAGCTGGGGACTCAGAATCTGAGGATGACCAGAGAATTACCTGAATATGCCTGCATATGCAGAAAATAATAGAAGCATAACTGAGGATTTCTAATTTTGTATATTCCGTTAATTTGCTTTAAGATGAGGGTAAAATATTCAGCTCTATCACTTCAGATAACTCTGCTGGGATTTCCTTCCTGCTGCACAGAGCAGAAGAAATAGAATCTTATAGGATGTATCTCATCTGTATGTTTAAGCATTCATTTCTGTGGGATTTAACAAAATCTTGCTCTTTGTGGTTACTGTATATGTTAACCTTTATGTCATTATCAAAGTTAACATCAATAAAGAAGCTTTCCACAAATGGAGATGATTATGTGCTTCAGGAAGAGAGTATTTCCATCTAAAATAACAGAATAAATCAAATTCCCCAGGGGACAGATATATTTCCTTATATTATCATTACTTCAGTTAACAACAACAAAAAAAAATCCATTAGAACATATTTCCAAAAATGCTTTGGGAAAATGAATTTGGCAGTTCCCCAGCCCCAATCCCTTCATCCATTCAGGGTTCCACACATGCTTACAGTAGCCCCAGGTCAACAGCATAAAATTCCCTTTCTAGCAAAGTATTTAAAGATGTGTTTCAATGTTTTTGATGAATGCAGATGGTTTAAGCACATCCTCAAGTGATTTTCTAAACCAGACATTCAAGGTTGCAATCTACAGTCTTGGTCTTATAAACTTTTACACTAAGGACTTGTCCCATTGACTTAAAAGGGTTGTTAGAGGAGAGCTGTTTCTTATCACGTGAACTCTGATGAGGCAGTTATTTCTTTCTGCTTCAATTCCCTGCTGATTTTTGATAATGATCTTACACAAATTTCATCCTATAAAGAGGGTATTAAGGGTCTAGGGGAATATTCCTCTCCATCTTTAAAGATGGAAACATCTGCTGGAATAACTGGCATCTTCCCTGGCTGAGTTTAGCAGTCAGTAAGAGCTGGCAAACTACCAATCTCAGTATCAGGTGTCAGCTAGAAAGTTTATTGTTAGGAAAAAATGATTCTCTGGCCAGTGTAAAATACACAAAAGAAAATCTAGTAAAAAAACAAAAAGCAGCTTTTGTGAGTTGTTGTAAAAAAAAAGATAATAAACTACCTTTAATACAGATTGGCTGTTTCCCTGACCATTCTCCATTGTCTTGGCAGGTCCTCTGTTCATTCCCACTAAGAACATAGGAGTTGTTACAAAAGAAAGCAATGACTGTGCCAATTTTTGCATAGCGTCCATTGAAGAGCCCAGTGTCTTCCACTACTCTTCTGTAGCCATTGAGTGGGCCACCAGGATCTGAGCAGCTTTTTTCATCTAGAACTAACAGTAGGGGGAAAAACAGTAACCATTTTATGAAGTTCACAGCATTATTTTCATCCATCAGATTGCTTGACTTTTCATTCAGATGTTGCAATACAATACATGCTTCATACAAACGCCTCTCAATGACCCATCTGTCCCATAGTCCCAAAGACCCATCAGTCTTTGAAAAAAATCAAACATTAAAGAAGTGATGATAATACAGATGTGTGTTAATGGTACACATTTTGTCTTTGTTGAAAGCATAAGATTCTCAAATCCTTTAAAAGTCTTTAAAACTTGGCTGACAATGCTGAAGAAGAAACTTGACTTTACAGGATGTTAACATCCCGTTGTCATTAACAGGACTAATTCAGAAACATAAAAGTATGCACTTAAGCAATTTGCACAAAACAAGCCCCTGGCATCCTTTTCCCATTTCTACACTTTCAGTACTCCACAGGTCTTGGATACTAAAACTAGACTACTAAATTTTGCTTTTATGTTTGGTTGCATTTTGGTCTCTTAGAGAGATCCCAATAATCCAGGAAAATAAAGGAATTTAAAGAGAACATATATATATTTTTACTGATACTAAAAGTTTAATGTGCAAATTCATAGGCACACTGCATATAAAACCTCTTTTACTTCCTCCTTCCCAATATTTCCCCCTTCTTTTTATTTGCTGTTTTTGTTTATTTTTTCTCACAATAAACTTAATTTTTTTGCCTAAATCTAGATGACAGCATTCCCTTTGTGATGGCTCACTTCAGAAAAGCACCAATGCATAACGAAACACTCAGGTATTTATTTAAATCTCTGTGTAATCAGCACAGCAGTAGTGAATAGGTACGGCCCTGACCTGTTCCTGTATCCTCATGTTTCCAGGGCCCAGCTCCACAAAGCATGTAAGCATGTAGTGAACTGTGGCAGTACAAGGTTCTATGAAGGGCATCTTCTCTTAATATGGAGCAGATAATTCAAATAAATGATACTTTCCAGCACTTTAACAACACTGGAATTTAGTATATGCAGAAGGAACACTGGAATTTAGTATATGCTGAAGGTTATATATGTACTTAAATACTTTTCTACAAGTCATACTGGGAAAAAAAACAAGGAGAGCTGGACTAAGCTCCCTTTCTAAGCTGGGAGAAAGAGAAAAGCCAAGCCTCATGTCAGTGGGAAGTTTAGATGTTTAGGTTGTGGATGCCCTGTCCCAAGGGGTGTTTAAGGCCAGGTTGGATGGGGCTGTGGGCAATCTGATCTAGTACTTGATCTAGTGACTGGCCTGTGGTGGGGGGGTTGGAACTTGATGATCCTTGAGGTCTCTTCCAACCCAAGCCTTTCTACGATTCTACAATTGTGTGATTCTATGATGCTATGATTCTCATTGCCTTTTCATTTGGATCTGTCTTTTTCCTGTGTACCTCACAGGCTATATGAACCATAGCTGACTTGTAATTTGACAGTAGCTAAAGATTGCAGAAATACACCCACAGTATAATGCTTTATTTGCAAACCAGTTTCTGTACTGATATCTAGCCCAGAGGCCTCTTGTGATGAGCAGAGCATAGGTTTCCAAATGTACCTAAGCCAATGAAAGACTTCTCTTATTTCACTAACTTGAATCATAATTCTCTTCTGCCATCAGCTCAAGGTTTTTTCTGATAGATTAAAAATAATGAGAAAACATCTGGGAAGAAGAAACCCAAATCACACCACCAACACTTCAGTAACAGCCAAGTCTAAAGATAGATGTTTCACTAGATCTTTAGCCAGAGACATCGTGCAGCAGGAACCTACTGCATTTATTGCAATTGGAGGTGTGCTCTTTAGATAAAAGAATGCCTTTGCTTGTTTATCACATGAAATTATATACAGCTGTTTCACAACACTCTCCACAAAATTTGCATTGTTTGCCATTGCACACTTGTGAAAGTGCTATTCAAATTGATATGAAGTGTTCTGGAATATGGAAATAAAATTGTGCAATATGAAACAGCTGAACTAAAATTAATCTCTTTGGAAGTGAAGAAGGGACTTGGGATTTCACAGATGGATCAATATGAATGGTAGATCTGCCATAGGCATGTGAACTTGCACAGCAATAATGAATAGAAGTTTCTCTTTTAATAGTTTTTGCTTAGGACAGGAATGCTGTTGACATAAGAGTCTATTCTTCATGCAATAAGCCCCAATCACTCCACAGAGACCACCACACTTCTGCAGAGAAGATAGCAAAGGTACATAGCAATGGAAGTAGCTATTCATTGATGCACAAAGTCCCTCATTTGATTTTGGTTCTAGAAATTTTGTTTGTGTGTAAGGAGGATACATACTTTCGAGGAGATTATTTTTCAGTCGTTTGATTTCAGTTAGACCTTTTGATTAGCAAGTCTTAAGGGCTTGGGCTTCAGCAGAGTGAAATAAGAATTCTTACTGCTTCTTAAAGGTGGGATGACATAGAACATCATGCTAAGCCATGGATCTACCAAATTTCAAGTGAGATTTGCATATTCTAGCTTAATGTGAATACCATGTCTGAAACATTTGATAGGAATCAAAACTTAAAGTGACCTTACCACATTCGGGATGATGTGTTGACCAAATCCCATCAAGCTGACAGTAGGCAACACGGCTGCCTTTTAAACTGTAACCTGCGTTGCACTTGAAGTAAACCTGGGCCCCGTATTTAAAGTCATCTCCTTCCACAATACCATGAGCGGGAGCACCTGGAGTCCTACACATCACCACTGACAGTTCAGATATTTCAAAAAAATCCACTTTATTACAAAAACAGGACTGTGTTAGGATGATTCTTTAGAACATAGAAAAACCAATTAAAATGGGCAGAAGTAAAAATTGCAAGACAAAATTACAAAAATTTCAGAGAGTTGTTTAAACCTCAGTTCTACACACACTTACGTATATGTAACTTTTCCAAACATCCCTAGACCCGTTCAGTTCAAAGGGATTACTCAAATGATCATATGCATAAGTGTGTGTTGTACTGTTACAGCTTTCATTTGCTTAAAATACTGTCTTTCCTCCTAAGGAGAGACTTTGAATTAAGTACCATGCATGGTCAACAGAAAACTTAGGTTCTTAAAAGCCTTATATTGAAATTCTTTCAAATTTTCAAACTCTTCTTTTCAAGTTTATATATTTCTTGAGATAACTTCACTGAAATAGAAAAGCATTGTTATTTGTACAGATCAAACATTATCATAATGACATTAAAAAGGTACCTTGATATTTACCAAACTGTGATATTTATCCTTTCCACAGGGTTGCTCTATTGGGAAAATACCAAAAGACAGTGGGGTATTTGTCTACTGCAAGTAGCAAATACTAAACATCCTAAACAAGATTTCTCTGAGACATCTAGTTAGCCATACTAAATCAGACTGAAGCTCCATCCAGCACAGAATTCTGCCTGCAATGGCAGCAAATAGCAGATCTGTAAAAGTAATATAAAAACAGAGCAAGCATATAGAATGCTTTCCTGACATAATCTAGGAGCATTTAGCGATTCAAGGCTCAAAATACAGTGGTATTTTTGGCATAACATACTCAGGGGACTTTTTTAATGTTAATTTGTGTTTTCCAAAATCAGCTACATACTTGGTGTCATATGCTGTGGCAGTGAGTCCTGCAGAGTAAGCGTTGTGTGAAAAATGCACTGCCTTCATGAGTTTGGTTTTCAGCTTGCCACCTGATAACTTCACTTGATGCTCTATTTTCTCCGTTATCAGAGACAAAGAACGCCCTTCTGCAAATTACTTTTCAGTACCAATTTTCTGCATTAATGGAGAAATAAAAAATTAAATGTAGGAAATGCAGGTTCCAGTGTGTACACAGTTGCCCATCTCTTTGAGTGTCTCTGACTTTGCCTGGACATTCATTGTGGAAAACTGCAGAAGAAGGGATTCTGTGCAAGATGTAGCTATGCATATGAGTTTTTCACCCAGACGCTGCATCTCTCTACTGAAGGTAGAATGCTACCTTCAGGTACATTCTTCTTCAACATTCAGGTGAATGCTACCAAGTTCATCTCTGCTTTATGTTTTTAGAATTTGACTTCTTTTCGTGTTTTGCCTTGTAGCTACTGGATCTGGACACACAAAGAATGTCGCTTACAGCCAAATTGTGATCCTTACATTTGCAGAGGAAAAACTCTTGTAAGGCCTCAGGCCTGTAATCCTTACTCAGAACACACATGACTGCATCTATTTATAACGGAGCACGGACTATTCAATTATTCACATACAGAAGAGATTCTTGAGTGAGTAACTGTTCTAAAGCAGTAGTACTCCCAAGAACAAGGCACCATAGAAACTCCTCTCATTTTATGGATTACTACAGACATCAAACAATGATTTGGCAGAATCATTTGTGCACTACTAAGCACAAGCCTTGGAAAGAAAAACTGTCTAACATGTAAGCATTAGAGAGGGGCTCTGACTCACTACTCCAAATCAAAACACATCCAGTTAAAGGAGCTCAACATTTTTTCTTAATGAGTGATCTGCATCAGTATCATCTTCTGCATAAGAATGACAAGAATTCAACAAAATTAATTTCTAGCACATGATATTTTTCATATGAAATACAGTCACTCATATATACGTGTATACACAGGCACATATATAAATGAAAGGGAAATAATAGGAGCATAGATTTTAAACCCTCAGAAAGCTCGTCATTCCAGTCACGATCTTTGTATTCCCAGTCACTTCTTCATATCTGTCTCTGGACATCAATTCATTGCACCACATTTCTATTTCTCTTTTTCAGTATAAAGTCTCACTCAGCTTGTCAAATGAAAAAAAAAGGTTATTAGAAACATCTGTACAACATTTGGAGTACTCCTTTTTATCAGAAATACAGGTTTTGCTTCTATTCTAGTACAGCTCTGCCAAACAAATCTTTTGGTGCTTTTGTATTCTACGTCCATCCTGGAAAAATCTTACCCAAGCTTCACTTACTTTTAACCCAGAAACTGAGAGTATTTGTTCTTGTTCTGTCTCCTAAGTGATTAAGATATTCCGTTCCTAGCCCTTGTGATTTGCTCTGCTTGCCAGACTTTCTGTAGAGTTCCACGGTGCCAACGTTACCCAGCTGGAACAACTCTGGTTTTACTTATGAGATAAATTCAGCATTTTGTACACAGATGCATTTAGGAACTATGGCCTAGAGTAGAGGATATGGAGGCAGAAGGTCATGAGAACTAATCATAGCTAAAAAACTGCAGTCATGGGTAAATTGCTTCATTTGCTACATCGATCAAAAGAGAGCACCCCTTTCCTCACAAGGACATTATAAGCATTAGTTCATATCCACTCGTGTCACAGAGTCACTGTGAGGTTTCTCTGATTGCAGAACAGCCAAGTATTCTTAACAGACATGGTGCTGCTGTTGCCCATGCCTCTATCTACTGGTTGTCTGTAATCGTAACACAGAATTCCCTGTGGTCTGTCCCAGTCTGTGAACTGCCACTGAAGGCACAGGTAATCACTTTATATTCTGTTTAGATAATTATTTAAGCTCATTCTTTCTCTCTACAAGTTTAATACGGTTTTGAATCCTGAGATGTTCCCTGCATCTCTATTCCACAGCTGAGCTGCGTTTTCAGCTCTATTATCTGGCCTGAAAGACACACACAGTTGCTCTAGTATCTGCCTCTGCTGTTTTGAATTTGAACTCATCTTTTTTCCCCCTTCAGTTTGGCTGAAAAATTACTTTACCAGTTGGTAATGGACAACAAAGTATGAAGGAGATTTCATGAAAGGTCTGCCAAAAAATGTCTGAGTAACTCAGAAAGTGTCTAAGCTGATGCCATTCTTTATGCCATGGTGCCATCACACCAATATAGACTCTGGGGTCTTTATTTCTAGAACTGTACGGAAAAAATTGAGAAAATTCGGGGGAAGGTAAAACTAAAGTCAAGAAAAAATTAACTTGAGAAGAGATTAGGAGCTAAAAATGATTACTCTGGTCATGCAAAACTAAAAATTGCAATAGTCTAAGAGCTCAGACCAGGAAGGATGCAGCAAAACATCTAAAGGGTCTAAAGGAAAACAAAGAGGTATGTTTAGGCAGGATAAAATTAAGAACAGAATTATTAAGAAAAACTCTATAAAAGCCTCCTTGATAAATGCTCTAATGGCATAGTAAAAAATAAATAGAAATGATGTCTCTCAGCATTTGAAAACAGAAAATCCAGCTAGAAAAAAAAAATGGAATAGATTTTGGAGAGAAAAGGCTGGCGCTACCAAACCCACTGTGAGCTCAGAGACTTCTTTAATTCTAATTTTTCCATGTATTGTTACACAGTGTTGTTCCTCAAAAGTTCCCTAACTAATCCACGCAGGTGTAAAGACAACCCTTGTCACTTTGGTGTTGTGTGGTAACTGCTGAGTCACGGCCTGAACCACTGATTGAGCACCTGGGGAAAGGACCCGGTCAGGCCTGGGAGCACAGGTGAAGGCAGTTCAGTTGTGTGACTGGAAGGGATGGAGCCTGGCTGCACCTCTCTTAGACCTCATTTAAGGCTGACTGCCACTGGGGTGGCATCTCTGGTTAGTGATCTCTCTTCTGTGGAGCTTCTATGGTGAGCCTACCGCTTCAGAGATTGGTGAGTACTTTTTCTTTGTAGTGCCTTTTTATTGTGCTTGTCCCTTTGTTTTTACATCTCCTTTATCGCTGCTCTATTGTGTTGATTTTTCTGATTGTTACAGTGTATGAGACAACTAGTGGCCTGATAGAGCTCTGTACCATTCATAAGAAAGCAAAGTAGAAAGGTGTAAAACTTAGTGGCTAGAGACAGCTTCAGCAGAAATGCTGAACCATGACAACTGCTGTTAGGAATAAAAAGCAGAACTGCCTCAAGTGTCTATGTGGCAGCTCACAGATTTTCAGTAAAACTCATTACCGTTCTTGTCTCTTACTTTATGTTTTAGAAAACAGAAAAAACTTTTGTCCCAAATGAAATATAAAAATGGTTCCATGTTTCATAGATAACTTTCTGCCTTCTGAGAAGAACTAGACTAGAGGAATGGAAAGTTCTTGAATTTTTAAGCAAATGTTCCATTATTAATAAAAAACAGCGCAAATTCCTCTTCCCTTTCAATTATGACTAGGAGACATTCCTCAGATCTGAATTATCTGCCATTTAGAAATAGTTTTCATGCTCATTTCATCACCAGTGAGATAAATTAGATGATCTCTAAGGCTACATTATTCTCTCTACAGTGTCCTTCAAGTATTGCCTGATAGAGCTATCATTTGTCCTTGTCCCAGGATCCTTTCATTAAATGAAAACCATTTTTCCTGCAGCCTTCTTCTCACCCACTTCCTCATTAAATAATATATACCCCCTCACATAAATCATATATTATCTCTAAATTTTGCACATCCTATTCAATAAAAGATTGCATACCTGAAATAAACCTTATTTCTCCTTGCTGTTACTAATGGAAGGTTTACATCTCCATTTTCTTCCTCCCTGGAAGACTGGGTGGAAGAGCTAGTAATTTTATGGGTTAGTCAGAGGATTTTTTTTTTTTAATGCTGCTGCTAAATACATTGATTTTATTGCATATTCCCAAGTCAAAGTTCAATTTCAGGCTGATTTATGCTAATGTATATAGCACACTTTATTTTCTAGTGGTTTGGGGGGAAAAAAAATTGTATCACTTGTAGTATTGCTTTCATATAAGGTGTGCTGGCAGGCTCAACAGAGGCTGAACTC